TTCATCCGAGCCTAAAGAAGTTCGGCTCGTTGCGCGAGCTTGAGACCAAGTGACCAACAAAGAGAAAACAAATATTGAGCTTAAATCGATAAGACCAATGCTCTACTCAATTTGGTTCAATTAGTTTACAAGCAACACTTTTTAAGCCTTCGACCTGATGATGATGATGATAATAATAATACTAACAATAATAAATGTTAAGCATACTTTTGAGGAACTATTCAAGGACAAAATGACTAATTGTTTTGTAAAAAAACATGAATCATGAGAAAGAAGTTACTACAAACCAGACAAGGAATTTCAAACAGTAAAACCACAACAAGGCAATAAATCCAATCCACCATAATATCAAAATAAAACAAGGTCACAACACTTGCTAACATCAAACTACAGCTACCAAAAGTCCATAATTCCACAAAAATACCCAAGTGCAATTTCTTCAGTAAACCGAAAACACACTCGACTGCTGGATTTTCGGCTCCACATCCCAATTCACTCACTATTGGTATGCCCAATATCGCCATTTTCATCCACAGCACGACTCGGAGGAGACTCACTATTTCTCGGGCAGCTAATATCATTCTCATCAACAACACGGCCAGGAGACCCACTGCTATTCGAGTGGGCTTTGTTATTTTCATCGATGCCTGTTTTGCCTTTACTTGGGCTTGGGCTTGCCCGCTTTGGACTATTATCGGGACTTGGGCTGTGCTTCCTTGTCTTTGGCTTTGGGCTTCTTTCTTGAGGACTTCTTGATCGTCTCTCTTGATGCTCGACATCTTTCCCTCTTCTAGAAGGAGGAGACTTTGAACGGCTATTATAAACATATAAACTAAGTGAGATAGAACGAATAAAAGAGTCTGAAATGAGGTTGATTACATTCTAAGGTAAATAGAATTAAAGAATAAACATAAATAGCTTAGATTTTCTAGGGGCTTTTAGAGCCATAAATATTTTTAGTATTTCTAGGGGGTTTTAGATTTTCTAATTTATGGAGTTTCTTTGAGGTTCTAGTTATTATAGTTCTTTACGCGTTTTCGTCTTTTCGGTATCCCTTTTAGGCTATGTTTGGTTATTCTACCTGATAGCTTATAAGTGATTTTGGAGTTTATAGCTTATAGCTTATGACTTATAGCTAAAAAGCTAGCTTATATGATAAAATGTATAGTAAAATTAGCTAATAAGCTAGTTGAATAAAAATTTCATCTAGCTTATTTGAAAAGCTACCCAAAGAAGCTTATGAGATAAGCTCTTCCTACCAAACGAAGCTTATTTGAATACAAGAAGCTTATAAGCTATCGAAATAAGCTATAAGTTAGCTTATTTATCATTAATTATTCTAAAATTTGCTTTTAAGGGATTGGTTTGACTTTGATAAGAGTATGCCTGACAACTACTGGTAAACCCGCACTGCTACAATCGTGTATGTTTAGTAAGTTGCACATTGCAGATATTGCAAGGGGAAAATGAAAGTCTCAAGGGGGGTGTTTGTAACATTTTTCAATGGTATTTATAATTTGGAAAAGATAACAATATTCTATTAGTAGTGAGGGGAAAAAGACCTGTAACTACGAGTTGGGCTGAAACTTCGGCTCCTACTTCTACCACGGTGAGGCGAACGGGACCTCACAGGCGAGCGTGAGTAACTCCGACCACGTCTGTGCAATTGAACAAAGAATTCGAGAGCCACGTCACAAGGTAAGCTTTTGCAGTACTTTTTGCAAATCAAGAAAACGGGAAAAAAAAGGCATAAACTGTTGTATTCACTATTGTCAGAGATTAAAAGAAGCTAATATATCCCGGATTGAAAAAAAAAATTAGAGAAAAAACATCTACCTCAGCTTCTTGGGACTGTCCCGGCAATCCCTTTCCACATGACCTCTTTCTCCACACCGATAACACTTGTTTTTCCAGTCGCCGGATTTGCAATCCCGGGCCCAGTGGCCCTCAATGCCACAATTGAAACAACAGCCTGATCCAGGGGCTGGGCCTCTGCCTCCGTAGTCTCGGGCCCCTCCTCGTGATCCACGTGGAACCTGTTTGACCAGTTTTCACGGGACAAAAATGAATCAAATAGGAATTTATTTCTAAATTCCTGAAATGGACGGCAAAAGGTTCACTTATTTGTGATATTCGAGGAGATGACATAAGCAATTTCTATTTGCTCCATTAATGGGTTTTTGTAATACTCGAAACTAGTTGGGCTTTATGGTAATTTGTCAAACATCAAAGTTAGTGTGTGTAATAATCCCAAATGTTCTTGAAACTTTTCATGTGCAAAGGCCAAAGAGTAACAGCAACAACCCACAAACAACAGCATAAGGGTGAAATATAAATCTTCAGTGTGTGAGTGTGTGTGTGTGTGTGTGTGTGTGAGAGAGAGAGAGAGAGAGAGAGAAGATCTTACCCCCCTGGCAAATTCCACAGCAATACGGCGTCCATCAACGTCTTTTCCATCCAATTTATATCTCGCATCATCAGCATCTCGTGGATCACTAAATTCCTGTATAATAGAAAAGCAGCACAAAACGAATAAAGAAAAACAAGAAAAGTACATGAATATCTTCAAACCCAAAGCTATTGAACAAACACAAAGGTAAAACTGTACAAGATAACTGATGTAAATAGGAATGTCAGGAGTTAGTACATACCACAAAGGCATAGTCCCTCTTCATATCCACATCGCGTACTCTGCAGAAACAGTCGTTAGAAACAAAAGTCTGTCATAAACTACAATCATATGATAAGTTTTGGTCCAATTCGATGAACTAAAACACCAGTTTGGACTGTTGCAAGTTCTACAAAACACGTTAAGACAGCACAGGATTGTCTGCAAAAGCCTCTAATTTTGCTTTCCAAGGAAATCCCACCAAGTCCACCATTTGACACCAGATCTGGCAAAAGCTTGGAATCATTCAATTCAACGGAACCAAGAGCAAGTTATTCCTCCTCAAATAACATGATAAAGATGTACTCAAATAAGACCATGCTCCCCAAAGCATGTTTGTTCTTAATAGCCAGTAAAGTGTAAAGGGAACAAACAATACAATAGTTCTGTGTGTGTATGTATGTGTGTGAGCAATACATGGAGCAGAACCAATACTCTGTATGAAAAGGAACAAAACTGATCTACAGTTACGATTCAGAGCTTTAGAAGAAATAGCTAAGCATAATGCAACCCATAGGATAAAACATTACAATGTCATACCTTCCATATCTACTGAAAATGTGCTCCAAATCCCTCGAACGGGTCCTTGAAGACAAGTGACCAACATAGAGGCGAGTACCATAGCTATCTTCATAACGCGGCATCTTTATCTCCAAATCAAAATGCAATAAGAAAAAGATTGATAACTAAAACAAGATTTTCACTCAAAAAAAGAGGCCAAAAATAGAAAAGAAACATGAATCACACAATGAGCATGCTAAAATTTATCAAATGGTAATTTTTCCAGTAAAGAAAATAAAAACATGAAAGCTACATCACCTTAGGTTCAACAAACACATTCGCTATAAAATTCCTCAAATGCAAAATGATAGTTCCTCGAATACATTCAAACAAAACAATCGCAACGACTGGTAAATCAAAACACTACCTAATCTACAACAAGATTGAAGATAAGAAATAAACTCAAGTGCGGCATTAAACTCATCGCCCAGATGAATCATCATCACACATTAGAGTAATCAACCAAAAAAAATGAAATAAAGACCAGCAATTTCTCAATTATTCAAAAATTATTCAAAAAGGGTACAAAAGAAACTCTTGATCGTGAACAATTAAAGCATCATACCTCGAAGATAGAACCCTAGAATTCAAATGTTGCCAGCTCTAATTTTACAACACACTGCGTAATAAAAGCTCACACATAGGGAAAATGAAAAGTATCCCGTCGATATTATATTTTGCCGATAAGCGGTTTGCGGTTGAGATCCGTTGACTTGAATCCATAGGCCAATATCAACAATAAGTAGGCCGAAAATTGTTATACCGGCCCACAGCTGTCCAAAACTCGGCTAGCCCAACAACAAGAACCTGTAAGTTCTTTTTAAGCCCAAATATAAGTCCAATTACTCTGCAGGGTAAGACTCCAATTTTTTGGGTTTTGGATAGGACCCCATTTAATTACAACTAATTCATTGTAAACTGGAATTATAAATTTTTCATAGTACAACTAATTCATTTATTGAATCGCTATTGAAAAAAACTCTTAAAAGAAACGAATCGCTATTGGACTCGAAATGATTCGTTAAGGTTCTAAAACATAAACTTGTATTTAATTTTTCATAATTTTACTCATTAAGACTTGAGATCGATTCATTAATATTGATAAAAAATTTAATTAGAGTTCGTTTATATGCTACTTTACTAACGAGTTGAGCCTCGAGTCCTAGTTCTGTTCGTCTAATTTACACTTTTACTCTTGAGGAATTAAAGATTAGTTTATAGTACATTTATTATTGTCTTTTAGTTTGCCATGTGCCTCTAGATAAATTGGTCTTTCTTCTATTATTGTCAAATCATATAATTGCGTGTGATATTGGGTTTCATTACCCTTTCTCTCCATTTATTTTGGATATGTGTGACAAGCGTCTTATATTTAACAATTGTTAAATTGCACTTAAAATCACCGTTTTTATTTATTTTTTTCCAAATATGTAAATAATTCTGTTGCAGTTTTTCAATTTAGCCAAACACAACACAATTTTAAGGAAAATCAAATGTTGTGCACGCAATTTCAATTAATTTACTAATTAAACTTAGGATAATCACATATAATGGGCGGCTTTCGTGAACATAATATCTATTGTCTTTAATTACGTGAAAAATGAAAACATAACTGCACTTATGCTTGTCAATTGAAAGTTGGCAGTTGGCACACCTAAATCCTGAACAAGTCATCACTACATTAAGCTGCTTGCGTTACACGTTGGATTATATTATATTTAATGCGTGTTTGGTTGTGTTTTTATTGGGCATGATAGCAATCCATTTCATACAATTTATTTCGGTAAGTCTCAGATATTGTCAAGATTAATTAGATAGATTCTTTGTGATGGCAAGCCTTGCAAGTAAAATAATTCAAGAATCTTCCACTTCATCAAATGCAAATTATTTAGGTATAGTTGATTAACTTGGTTATTTTACCTCTTACCCTAGTAAAAAACCTATCTAAAAGTTTTTTTCATATGCTTTTAATCGATCATACAAACAACAAATTCACCTATGTACTTCTCATCCCAATCAATTAATTAAACAAGTCATCAAATAGTTCATACTTAGCATTTTAATTAATGAGAGGAGTCGAGTTTGAGTTCTTTTTGTTTTAGTTCAGGTCTGAGCCTTATCAGGACGGGTCGAGCTCGACTCATCATCTAATCGTCAATAAATGAATTTGAGATCCCCTCATTTAACAAATTAATTAGCTGAACTCGAGTCTTAAGACCTCAATTTTTTGATTAATGATTCGAGTTCGACTAGTTAACTGAATGAGTTGTTAAATGTTTTCGATTTAAGCTCGTTTAACGAAAGAATCGAGTCAAATTCAAACCTTAAAAAAGCGAGCCAACGAACATAATAAAATATTTTGTCAAACTCTAATCCTACCACATCTACTACTAATAGCATGATTGGTAGGAAGGAATGACATGGGAATGGAATGATTATTCCCTTACTCATTCCTAATCTCATGATTGGTATATTTTTTAAGAAGGAATGACCATTCCAATGGGAATGGCAAAATCCATCTCCATGGGATTAACCATTTCATAGTAAATGGAAGGTTTTCTCATTCCCATGTGTATAGGAATCAACTTTTCAAAAAATAAAATTAACAAATAATAATAAAAAATAAATATATAATATATATTATAAATCATGATTAAAATATATTAAATAAAATTATTTAACAAAAAATTCAAATAAAAAAATTGAAAACTTACTTTTAATTATATTTTAATTAGATATATTAAATACTTATATAAAAATAAAACTAAAAAAAACATTTATACATAATTTAAAAATATATTATTTTATTTATATATTATTAAAAATATATTATTTTTTTATCTTAAAAATATACATAATTTAAAAATATATTAATTTATAAAATATATTATTGAAAAATCTTAAAAATATATATTATTAAAAATATATTAATTTTTTTTAACTATTATTAAAATTTATTATTTTACAAAATAAAATTCAAATAAAAAAATTGAAAACATACTTTTATTTACTGTTTAATTAAAATAAAATATATTATTTTATTTTTATATATTATTAAAAATATATTATTTTTATATTATTAAACAATATATTATTCTATTTGTATATATTATTCAAAATATATTATTAAAAATATATTATTTTATTTTTATATATTATTAAAAAAGCATTTATATATAATTTATTAAAAGTATATTATTTTTTTTTAAAAAAAACTTTTATTTATTTTTATAATAAAAAATGATAATGTCATTTCATTCCAGTCATATTCCTTCTGCATACGAAACGCATCAATGACAAAACATATTTCATTCCATTCCCATAATCATTCCATTCTTCAATTCATTCTATTCCTACGAAATTTCATTCCATCATACCAATCATGCCATAAAAGATTATGACACTTTTGAACTTAATTTAGAAACATAAATCAAATATTTTGTTAACTAACTCTAAAATTAAGTTTGGAACATATTACGTTCGTTCGGTTGGTGTAGCATTTCTACCCGCTCAAGACTATTATTGACCAAAAAAATCGAAAAACAAATTAAAGTTATGTGAATAAATATACAAAGCCCATTACTATATGCAACTGTAGGTAACCTGATTGTACTATGACAAGTTATCCCCAAACAAAAATATATATATATAAANCATGTACATTAAAAAAAAAAAAACATAGCTAGCTAATTGTTTTAAAATGTGTCATTAAAGTGTAAAATTGTGAATATACATTCAAAAAGTACAATATCACCATTATATATGTCTACTTTTACCTAAGAGTAGCTTCATTGAATAAATAAAATTATACAACAGTCTCATTGTCTCATTTTTCATTCACAATTTTATATTATCTCTCTCTCTCTTTTCTTCATTTAGCCCAAAACAACTCATCAATTTTCTACATCATCTTGTACCAAAAAAAAAAAAAATTCTACTACATCACATTTTATGCGGTCCCTAACTTCCAAGTCCTCCAAAAACACAACCAAAACATGAGCAAATCCTGCATATCAAGTTGCGTGAGCGACACGCGCAACCCAATCCGCGTCAATTACGCCAGCCTCCACAAGTGGCCGGAGTCCGACGCCGAGTTCGTACGGTCGGCCGCCGGCCGAGGCGGCGCCCGGCCGCGCAGCCGGGTGGTCGACGGCATTTCGTGCCGGCAGATGTACCTACGGAGCTACACATTTACGAGGGAGGAGGAAGGGACGATTCCCGAGAAGGCCGTGAAGTGCTTCGCGAGGGTGAGGGAGAGGGCGGCCGCCGCCGCCGCCGCCGCCGGCCGGAGGACGGAGGAGGAGGTGGGGCTGAGGCGGCGGCGGAGGAGGAGGAAGAAGAGAAGAGAGGGGCTACGGCTGCCGGAGGTGGTTGTCGGGAAGGTGAAAAGGCTGTCGTGTGGGGCGGCGTGCACCGTTTTCCGGCGGCTGCTGTTTTGCGCCGCCAGCGTGGATGTTGTGGTGTGACTGTGTGAGCAAATTTTTTTTTTTATCACTATTTCTTTTTTTATTTTATTTTATTTTCCACTTTTTATCCATAGTATGCATTTGGAGTGAATTTTAATTTGGAAAAAAATTGGTTGTCCTTAATCCTTATCTTTTGATCATTGAATAACGGTGTATTTCAAACTATTGTTACTATAGCTGGTAAATGAAATGAGTTGCGCGTGAGTTTTACTCGACTCGTTAAGACTCGAGCTCAACTCGACTCCTTTATCAGTTCGTATTATAAATAAGTCGAACTCATTTAAAGTTTGTTTGGGTAGCGAATCAAGCTCGACTCAGTTCGATAATACTCGAAAAGATAAATTTTTATATGATTCTTATAATTTGGCTTTGACTCGTTAATTAAAAATTAATTCCAACTCGAACTCGACTCGTTAATATTCATAAATGAGCCGAGGTAAAGCTCGATTATAAGCTCATTAGGGACTCGAGCAGCATGAACTCGACCTCGGCTTCACTCATTTAAATTCCTATCGATGACTGCACTGCGGTCTAGTGCAGTCACTGGGGTTTTAACGTTTGATTAGTACATGCGCACACATTTTATAATGTGTATGTTAATCAAATGGTAAAATACATTGTGATTGCACTAGTAGAATCGAGTCTTCCTTCTAGTCGGGTGTTTTTCATTTACTTGTTCGGA